TCCATGTTGGACTTTTCACTTTAGAAAGTTCCTGCGAGAGTCATCAGGACTCCTTACGATTCCTGCTGGAGTTTTTCATAAACTTGGGACTCCCGTTGGAGTTTTGCCGGGAGTCTCGACTAGGGTACCTTGTGCATGAATATGCGTGCACAGATACAGCAATTGCAGACCTCTTATCTGGTGCTTTTATTTTGATTGTAGATCTTTAGAGTTAGCAATTCTGTCTAGTCTTTTGCTACTTCTACTCTTGACTTTTTCTTCAAGGATTCATGGAAATGTTAAGTTGAGAATGTTTTATTGTCTACACTCGGATCAAACTGATCACTGGATAGGTCTAAAGTTACCAGGGGGTTCATTCAAACACAAATCATTGATCTTTTTCATAAGCTCAATACAAGCTCACACCCAATTCCATGACAATAATTTTATATTATTTGATAACAGTCCGAAGAAATCTTATTAAAACTATCGTAAAAGCTGTTAATACAACGGCGGCTGAGACACATGCAAATGTCACAGCAACGATCGCTGGAGTAGACCATGTCAGTTTATTCGATTTTGGAATTTCGCCAGTACCAGTAACCGATAGTGGTATTGTAATTGCAACACTTCGCTCTCTTGCTCCATCGTTTATCGTAGCTTCAGTGAAATTAAAAGGCTCGACCAAATTTTCACTCGGGGTAACATTCGAGGATAACAACATAGTAACGTGCGTTGAACGTGCGGTCAACTTTATTGAAGTTTTCATCATTGTGGTATCTACATCTCAGGTTAACAAAAAACGGTAGATATACAGAATGCAGTGATTAGTATGGATCAAACGATTTTGATTAAGTTCGATCCCTTTCGGAAAGGAGGAGTTCGCATAAGGTTGATAATCGGCTCATTTCAATTTTTGCCTAGAAACGATTCTATGAGTAGTAGAAAAGGATTTTCATCAGATTTTAAGTAATTTTGTGTACTTTTGGTATCTAAAATCTGACACTAATTTAGGTGTAGCTGTACAAAAGTAAAATACTCATATCTCATTCAAAACCAAACCCACCTGCTTGGAACCTTCAGAACATTATCAGACGAGTAGATTGAATACTCAGAACACCAAACAACTTTCCATTTGCTTTAGAGATTACCCGAAGTCACCTAATACCAGTCTTGAGACTTCCAACAAAACTGATACTATGCCTAGAACTACAGAGGCTGAACTCACTGATCATTCTTTCTAGGCAAAACGATTATCAACTTGATGCGGATTCCCCTCCTTTTCGAACTAGTGCACTTTATGACTTGGCCTATGGCGATCTCATACTCTAATTCCCTATTGTAGTGCTGATAGTGATTAATTAAAGTAGTAGTATTCGAATACTAGCGTCTAGTCGTATGTGATAACGTAGTGTCTTGATATTTTCAAAAAAACTTCCAGTTTCTCACTATTCACGGTAAGATTTTGCAAGATATCAAGAGGTTATATTAAAACTTTGAAAGGTCAAACAAGACCATTGTGAATCATGCAAGATCTTGTAGTATTTCGTAGAATCCATCTCCTTGATTTAACGGATTCTATGATATTTTGTCCTCGGAGGATCGTATAAAGCTTCACAAAAATACACCAGATCTTGTAGGACGTGTTTCATCTTAGTAGCTCGTACAGCATTCATTCGTTTGTTTTCGTTTACCTGCAACAATAAACTTTGGTTTTGTTCCTATAATTTTTGCAAAATCGTCTATTTTCGATGTTGTCATCATCGTCTTAGGATTGAATGGTATTGGAAAAAGTGTATGCGATATTTCACGGTTTGTTTGTTGAAAACTTGACGTCGCAGTCGGTTCTGTTATGGTCATACGTATAGAGGTAAAAAATTTGCTATCAGCAACCGTCGTTCTATTTTGCATTTTATTGTTTGACAATGTAAAAGCAGAGACATTTGATTCCTTGTTCAATGCTGGTGAATTATCGTCAACATCTTCTAACCACGATTCTGATATCAGCTTTATTGTCCGCTGTTCACATTTCAACGTACGACTTATCCCTTCAAGACCTCTTTTGGCACCGAGCCATTGATAAGCACTGATGTTCGGACACTTCGTTGCCTTCAAATCAAGAAGCACCCTTATAGTCGAATAGATACTGTTTTTCGTAATATCTTCACTAGGTTGGTCGACTTCAAACTGATCACACTGTATCGTCAACCCTGTCAATCCTGTTGCTAATGGAATAAAATTATCAAAGTTATGTATGGAGCCAAAGCATTCGGTTAAATTAAGTTCCACCCACGAATTGAGATGGTTTATCATTTGAATTAGATTTGAAAATGTTGTTGTTCGACCATTGTTAAACGTCCACTTCTCTGGAAATGAAGTGTTTTTCACTTCTTTTTCATCTAAATAGAATTCAACTGTACAATTTTCGAATTTGATCCATTTAATTGACGTTAATGTTTGTAGATTGGATAAATTGATTTGGACACATAAATTTCTTATTTCGATATTATCAATTGCATTCCGTGACAAATTTTCTATTTGTTTTGAACAAGCAGATAAATAATCACTAAATAATGATATTTCTGTACATCCACCACTCGCATTAGATATAATATATAATGAGAAATCGATGGCATTACCTATTTGTTCATGACTAATGATACAATCTTAAATATAAAGGTTTTTCAATTAGCATTAACTAAGGTTCTTTCAATATGCTAGTTATATTTACTTATTTCTTGAATTCCTTGAGCTACTTGACGTTTACTTCTGATCGACTGAATAGCGAAACAGCATTGTTTAAACAGAAAGAGAGTTATAATTATCTTTAGACAATGTTGCTGATCGACGCCAATTTTCTTCATCGTCAAGATGGCCCAAGTTGACGACAACACAATTTATAAACTTTTGTCTCTTAGCAACAATATCTTTTTCTAAGTCTGATCGACAACTTATTTATTTATGACTAATTAATGTTCCTATGTTCTATGAAAATAAATAATTTTTATACATAAAGATACTCAAAAGAAAGTTCATATAGCGGTCAAGCAAAACAGGATATCTTCAAAGTAAGAAAGATTTAGATTTGACTCCAATATTATGAGCGGTTGGGCAATGAATAGGTGGGACACATCTCACCTGTATTTGCTAAAAAATATCTGGTATCTGAGTTAGATTGGATTCAGTATTGAGGATTTTGTGCTAATGTCAGTACATGTTTTTAATAAGAGGCTTTACTTTCAGAAGAAAGTTCAAAAATCTAGTAAAAATCTATATTAGATGAAACAATTTATCTTATGCTTAAGTTATGAGTTTTAACTTTATTTTCCGCTTAATTCTTTAAGTTCCGACTTTTTCTGCTAAATCAAATTTGATAAAACATGGTATAAACTATATAAGAAAGCATTTATAGAAGCTCTATTTCGTTACTTATGCATATGCATTTAATAATAAAACAAAATCATTTTTTTCACAAAGATCGTGAATAAAATACAGTTATACACACTTCTACGAATTGATTAGACTCCCATCAGGCAAGGAAGATGCAATAATAAATTACTAAGATTATGTATAACAAAAGTTCTTAAAGATTGTCCAAAACTGTCGAAATCTAGTGGTGGTAAGCGTACTCAAAGGGCTAAAACAGCAGCGCTCAGTTTTGATGGTTCACTGCGCTAACTCCTTAAGAAAATCATGCTGTAGAACTAAAAAGCGATACAGTCTAGGTCTAAGTTAAATAAATAAGCAAAGGCGTACTAACTACTTGTGTGTACTAAACTCTGAAAGTATATTAATTCGGGTAAATTAATACACACTTAGCTCAGCAACATTTTCGACAAGTATACTTTTTGAAAATAGGTGTTTGTATTTTTATCATAGGTTTTGAATGAAAGATCGTGTACACTGTAAGGTTGGAAATTATTTATGGAAAATGCTCGGCGATTTTCAAAGAGTACATATGGGAATTCTCCGAGGATTTTCCAGTTTATAGAAAATCGAATTTCCAACAATCTAGAATATCCTTCTTGATTTTCCAGATTGTTAGAAAATCGTCATTGAATTTCCATAAATAATTTTCAAGAATCTAGAAAATCCTCCTTGATTTTTCATAAATAATTTTCCAAAAAGTAGAAATTCCTTTTTGATTTCATTGAAACTGAAAATTCCTTGGCGAGTCTGCACCGAGTGTCGGTACGATCAGATTGTATGGAGGTTGACCCGCTCATGCTTTTGAGAAATTTCTTGTGAATGTCTCTGGTTTTCGGATCTTCCTACCAAAACTTCGCGCCACCACTGTCTCTGCCTAAATCGAAATTCTTACGGGCATAGGCAGAATTGTGATCTAAAGTAGAAACTGTCAAAGTTGATTTAAGTGTAATATGAGTGTCTTTACATGATGCTCTTATACCTACGCTGATTGCAAAACAAAAAGATAAATAAGTATTTGGTCTAGAAATTCCTGGACTAATTTCCACTTTCTAGAAATTTCCTAGTTTATAGAAAATCAACTTGAATTTCACGATTCTTGGAAATTATTTATAGAAATTCGATTGATTTTCAATAAACTAAAAAATCGCCGGCGGTTTTCCTCAGCGATTCTCCACCTTTATAGAAAATCAACATTTCCTAGAAACCTGGACATTCGTCGAGGAATTTCTGTAAACTAGAAAATCCCTGGCGATTTTTCGGTCGATTTTCTATAAGGTATTAATTAATTCAAGATTACAGTGTAGAGTGCGAAAACATCTGAAAATCTTCAACACACTTTTCTTTTTAATTCGAGATATTTCTGAGCTGTGGACCAGAGTCGTAACTGATAACGGCAAACGACCAAGGTGTTCAGTTCTCGTTCCATTAAGACTTTTTAGAATGACCGCTCTAAAAGAAGGTTTTAACCACTATCATTATGAGCTTTTTCTTGAATAAAATTAGTCTTTCACTATTATATGAAAAAATGGGAAATTTAGAACGACCGTTCCATTCTGGTAGAGAATTTTCAGAACGATATTTTCGGTTCCGTTCTAAGAATTTTGGAACGGTTACATCTCTGTTGTGGATGTCTTGCCGTTCGAAAATTATAAGAGAAATAAAATGCAGAAAACCGATAACGAAATTTCACTCCAGTACCAGAGTTAAGTAGCCAAGCCCTTCATCACTATCAATATTTTTCCATCACATATTTTGGGGATTTAACTTGAAGTCAGACTTTTGGAACACCCAGCTAGCTCCAACCGGATAAAACCTAGATTGAAGCTGGATAAATGTTCCAAAAAACACTCTTTCTGATTGTAGTAAAAGCCATTTCTGCAGTGTACACTTATACGTTCAGATCATAACATTATCAAAAGCTAATGCAATACGGACTGGAGAGATCTATTAGTTGTTCACTCTAGAATTATCCATCATTGTCGTCACCTGTCATATGCCATACTTACCCGTCGTTTCACATAAAGAACAACTAAGAAATCAGTAAAATAATCTCGAGTCTTCTAAAACATCACGGTTCGTTCATCAATAGATTTTACATTATCGACTACCTTGGATACATTTCTTCTATACATGCTTCTCGATTCTACCAGTTTCTACGATGAAGCTTACTAAGATTTTTTTTTGTAACAGGTGATGGTGTATTGTACAGTGGCTTCCTCTATTCAATCGAACTTTTAACATTATCCTTTTGATTGGATTATCCATAGAATATCTGTCGCCCATTTTCTGATGTTTTGTAAACACACACACAATTAATTCTCTAGATCCAGGCAAGAGCGTAATGAGACGGGGGATAGTGTTTCTAATGATCGTTGAATAAATACAGTAGAATATCAAAACTTACGGTGCGGAACACTAAATAAATCCAAACTACGTAGCCATGTACACTTTGTCCGTTGTCCCGCTGTGGAAAAAAAATGTATATCACATTTAAGTTTTGGTGGGATCTGAACGTGGGATGAGAGCATTTTAATGTGAATTTTAAATTTGCGATTTTATTATCTACATGTTTCCTTATTTTTAGATAGAGAAAAATAACATCGAAATCCCCATTGAAGATGACGGTTTTTAATGAGATTTGTAATCAAAATGGAATGAATGATTTTTCTCTGAATCTCATATTGATACTTTCAACTTTCCTTTAAAACACAAAGTGGTTTGAATACAAATTTCCGACAGGCAGTATTTGCGACACAGTCTTTATGTTGCGTTATAAGCTGTATAAGTTGAGCAGTAGGGGTAGAACACACTATAGCAGCGCACAGGCTGAGGAATCAAACAAATTCCAAATCCCAAATCTCTCTCTACGTCGTAAATACTTTAGACTTTTACAGTTTTTCAAAATTTATCATCGTCTAAGTCCTGTTTCTCTCTTTTACACTATTCATCGTCCTCACTACTCATCTTTACGTCTTCA